CCATCCATCCATCCATCCATCCCCCCATCCATCCATCCATCCGCCCATCCATCCATCTATCCATCATTCTTAAACCCACCCATCCACCCATCCATCCACCCACCCATCCGCCCATCCATCCATTTATCCATCATTCTTAAACAGACCTATCCATTCATCCATCAGTCTAGCCAACCACTCATCTATCCAAGTACTCATGCTCAGAACCAGCTATCCATCCAGGTCTACATCAGCTGATCCATTCACCTGGCCACCTATCTATCTACTCTCCTTGCATTCATTCACATTCATTCAACCCTCTCTATTCCTTCCATCACTCCTATACCTACCCTTCCATCTAGCCAGCCACCCCCAAAATACACCCATAAACACATACATCTATTCATTAATTCACCCATCTATTTCTCCCTCCCTCCCTCTCTTCCTTCCTCTCTCCCTCCCTCCATCCATTGTCCTACTGAGGGCATATCTATTCATCCATCTATTCCCCAATCTAATCCATTATCCATGTATTTCCCTCATGCAATCATCTAGCCACCCTTTCACGCATTCATCCATTCACTTAGTTGTCCATCTTCCACCTGTCCTTCCATTCACCCACGCCTCTATCCACCTGTTCATCGGCCGTCCATATACCCATCCACCTGCCCACTCATCCACCCACTCATGTGTCATCTGCAGCGAGTTCTTTGACAAGCATGCAGTGATACAGCACCACACAGATGTGCCCCCACCTCCCAAGTTGCTCACAGCCCCCAACAAGAACCCCAAACCCCAGCCCCACCTCCATGTACCAGAGGCTGAATTCTCACCAGCCTCTCCCAGCTGAACATCTCCGGAAGGACGGGATTGGCATCCGCAGTGCAGACTATGTCCACAGAGCCCCCAACGTTCACCTCAGTGGGGTCCTGGAGACTTCGGATGGTGGGGGCATCTGGGGAAGGTAGGGTTTGGGAAGCACTGGACCCAGACAGGCCACGTGGGAGTGGGCCCCAGGTGGGAGAGGTGTCTAACGGCTCCCTGGGAAGGTTACAGGAGTGGGTGGAGGGTGTCCTTGTAGAGGGGTTCCGGGGGAGTGAGGATCTCCCACCCTCTACCTGCCTTGGGCTTGGCTTCTGTGTAAGTGCGTCCTGTCTGGGCAGTCTCTCTAGTGTGGGGGTGGGGGGGTGCACGTGGGGCTGGGGGGACTTCCAGCACGGGTGACTGCCCCTGGGTGGGCGGGGCTTACCCAGGGTGACTGCCCCTGGGTGGGCGGGGCTTACCCAGGGTGACTGCCCCTGGGTGGGCGGAGCTTACCCAGGGTGACTGCCCCCT